TATATAAATATATATATATATAATAAACAAATCTTTTTTTTTTAAATAGTTGCTGTGGTCATGATGTCTCTTCACAGCAAAAGAAACCTTACCTTAAGACACTACTGTTAGGAATTGTAGTTTAAATATCTGATGTTCAGGATATCTGATATGTGACTCCTGTGAAAGGGTCGTTTGACCCCCAAAAGAGGTCATGAGCCACAGGTTGAGAACCACTGGTTTAGAGCAACATACAAAACTGATTATGTTTACAACACCAAATCAAAGCCACTGTCCCAAAACCTGTAAGAAAAATTCTGCCAAGACAGTTACTCCATGCCTGCCTCCACCCCCAGGCCTTCTTATCACATAGGTCTGCTGAAACCTTTCCCTCTAGGACAAAGGCAGGCACTTTGATTTCACTTTTCCTGTTCTTCTTTTAAAGTGGAGCCGAACACGAATTCCTTAGACTATGGCGATGACTTCCCCTTGTCAGCATTTCCTCACCAATGCTGTTTGGTGTCTCATCTCACCCTCCTACATTCAAAAAGCAGGCACCACAATTTTATGTTTGAGGCATGGGAAGCTGGGAGTTGAGCAGCAAAGACATTCTTCCAATACAAAGTAGAACCCAGGATGACCACCAGCTGGGCCCAGGTCTCCAATATCATCCTGCAGGATTGGCTGGGGAGGGGGCTCTGACACTCTCCCCTTCTCCAGAGCAACATCATCTTTAAATCAGCCCATGGAATGTCATCCTTCACACACTCTTTGCTTTTCATCATATGTCCATTAAATTCACCCTCATTTCTCATCTTCTTAGTTATTTAATAAACACCTCTCACAAAGTGAGGCTCTAAGAAAGACTCAGTTGCTCCTGCTCTTTGCAGGGTAATAAAAGTTCAGGCTGTGTAAAACTACACAAGGTACTCACTCTGTGATATCTGCTTCTCCCCGGAGCCCCATCTCCTGCCTCTTTCCCCCAGCATCATACTCTATAGTTACGCTAAACAGCTTATAACTCCTTTGCTGCACACGGCGGGAGGCTTCACTTTCCACTGTTTTTATGTACACTGCTCCATCTCCCTGGAGTGCCCTTTTACTTCACGGGGCTTCATCCCACTCCATCATCCGGGCTCAGCCCAGGCATCACCCTCACCAGAAATCCTAAGCAAGTCTGAAGGTGGTCCAGTCTTCTATGCTAGGAGTCTATAGTTTTGTAGGAATATTTTATTCCATTTATCTATTTGTTTGTTTGTTTATCATGGGGGAGTGGGCTGCATGTGGGGAAGGGCCACTGTACCTGTGTAGCGGTCCAAGGACAACTGATGGAAGTCAGTTCTCTCCTTCTATCATATGGGTCCCTGAAACTGAACTTGGGTCACCAGGCTTGGCGGCAAGCATCTTCATCCACTGAGCCATCCTGCTGCCCAAACTGGAATCTGCTTTTAGAGGATGGTTACATGTTTCTGTGCTTAAGTCACCCACCTCAGCAACTAATCCCCTACCAGACACTTGCTACACAAAGACTAAGCCATTCTCTCTATGCCCTAGCAGCCAATACAAGCTCATGAGAGCACTGGACAAATCTTTGTTGAAAATCCTTCAAGCCTCATGTTTAGCCTGGGTGGCAATGTATGCATAATTGGATCTTCTCAAATGCCTAGACTCAGATGCCTTTCCATGGGTCCTGGTTCCCTCCACACAAAAAGAAGTTTATATTGAGTTCTTAGAAGTTGGCCATTGTAGCCAGGAATCACAGGTACTAATGGAAACTGTTCCTAGTACCACAAAGTCCTTTCTCACACATCAACATGTCACTGATTTTCTAGAAGATTCTAGAAAGCAGGAAGGAAAGTCTAAGGCCAGTGCAAAGTTCACCTGCCAGTCAAGGTGATCCATAAGAGACAGACAAAGCAGAAGAAATGACTCCTTCTCTTCTAAGGACTCTACATGTGCTTCAATACTGAGAGCATTCCTACCTAAATGGAGATACTTGCCATGATCCTGGCAAACACGATCCAAGATGTCAATTCTTTGCAAATGAATTGATAATTCTTAAATGTACTCATGATTAAAATCCTGAAAAGATTTTTTATATAATATATAAGAAGGCAATTTTGAAATCCATATTGAAAATATAATTACCAAGGGCTGAGGATGTAGATCAGTGGTTGACAAGACCCTGGATATCAAAAGATACTATTAGTATGTCAGGTTTTTGTGATAGAGTCTCATGTAGCCGAGGCTGCCCTCTAACTCATTGTGTGGCCCAGTATGCTCTTTTTTTTTTTTTTTAAGATTATTTATTTTGTATACAGCATGTATGACCAGAAGAGGGCACCAGATCTCATTACCGATGGTTGTGAGCCACCATGTGGGTGCTGGGAATTGAACTCAGGACCTCTGGAAGAGCAGTCAGTGCTCTTAACCTCTGAGTCATCTCTCCAGCCCCCCAGTATGCTCTTAAACTCCCTGCCTCTGTCTCCCAAGTGCTAGGATTACAAGTGTGTACCATCACATAGTTTATTGCTACCCAAATACACTGTGTATATACACATATATACATATATGTGTGTGTATATCACAGGATTTTACTCTTTAGAATATATCCATGTATTACTGTTTATATCAAACAGTAAAATTCTGTGATAGCCACATGCAGAAAGCTGAGAAACCAGAATGTCAGTTTACAAATAAATGTATATATTTGCCAGGCCCATAGTAAGTACTGGGGCCAACAAATTAAGGTGACATTTCATATCGGTGGGACAATAAGTTAGAGAAAGACAATTGACTGTTCCTGAGGAAAAAGTAGATTTTCATACCCACTATCAGTCATGGGAATCAACTCTAAGAGCTTATAAGCCTACATATGAAAATACCTGTAATTTTTGGAAGGGACTAAAGAATAGTTGATGGCCTCAGGGTAGGGAGGGCCTTTAAAATGAAATAAAAGATATGGAGCTGAGCTGGCAAACTACTGTTTGTGGGTTAAATCTGCACTGCCATCTCTCTTTGTCTAAAAAACCCACAAAGTTTTATTGGGACACAGCCCATCTATTTGCTTTCTTATCGTCTGTGACTGCTTTTATGCTACAACAGTGTCATCGAGTACTCAGTCACAAGGACTGTGTTACTTGTAAAGCCAGAAGTATTTACTATCTCGCCATTTACAGAAAGAATGCTGACCCTTGGCATAGAGTTAAAAGATTGATAAATATAACTACAAAAATGTAGCACATTTTAGTCACAGAGATGCTGTGAGCAGAGTTCAAAAGGCAACAGCAGACTTGAAGGCAATATTTGGAAGATATATATCAGATAGTGGATTGACTGAGGACATGTGGAGACAGCCTACAAATCAAGAGGCCACTCTGACAAGAAAGGAACCATCATCCCACAGGAGTGGGCAGAGGCCAGGGACAGGAAATTCACAGAAAACCTTCCAGTGGCCAAGAGAAGCACAAATGCATTGTCTCACCTCATTGCATCCTTCACTGCAAGCCCACAGGAAAGAATAGAGCAAGGGAATTTTAGAAACGATTTATTTTCTAATTTTTATGTATGCCTGCATACTATATGAGTGCCTGGTGCCCAAGGGGGCCAGAAGAGGACAGTGGACTCCCTGGGACTGGGGTTATTGATGGTTATGAGCCACCTGAGGGTGCTGAGAATTGAACCTAGGTCCTTTGGAAATGCAGACCGTGCTCTCAAGTACTGAGCCATCTCTCCAGGTCCCAAGAAGTGTTTGATGAAAGAACTATTTATAAACGTGTGATCTAGAGGAATCACACAAATACACACATATACATGCACATACACAAACTGTGACACAGTACTCTGAGGTTAGCAATTTAACATTGTACATATTTTATATTATATATACATACATATATACACATATATTTACTACAATAAAATTGCATGGACATTCTCCAAAAGATATTAATGAAGGGAGTAAACAATGTTTTAAAATATTTGAATTTAGGGCTGAAGGCGAAGCTCCATGGTGCAGAACTTGCCTGTTAAAATCCACACACACATGCACATTCATCCACTCTCACAAATATGCACACACACACATGCACACTCACACACACACATATGATCACCCACAGGCACACTTACACAAAGACACAGGGAATGTGAAGATTAAAAAAAATGTGAAAACTCAAAAGTATAAGCATAAGACTCTGGGATGGCTATGTTTCTACAAAAACAGGTTTTAACTCAATTGATATCCCTCAGTCATTGTGCTTAGCCAGATGACATCACCAGTGTGCAGCATACTCTTGAGTCCTAGTATTAGGGAGGCTGAGAGAGAAGAATTCTGAGTTCAAACAGCACATTTTAGGCTGGCCTGGGTAACAAAAAAGATGCTTTAAAAAGACAAAGTAGATCTCAAGATTAGAAATATTACTAAGAAAAAAATTTAAAGTATAGATCCCTTTGCTATGAGCAAGGGCATCAAGATCATGGTGGGGAAACCTGCAGAGATGACCAAACCAAACTAGTGGGAACTCATGAAATTTGGATCAATAGCTTGGAGCCTGCATGGGACTTGGCTAGGCCCTCTGCATAGCAAGACAGTTGTGTAGCTTGATCTGCTTAAGGGGTCCCCTGGCAGTAGGCTCAGAATCCATCTCTGGTGCATGAGCAGACTTTTGGGAGCCCACTACCTATGATGGGACACTTCACACAGCCTTGAGGCAGGGGGAAGGGCTTGGACTTGCCTCAACTAAATGTGCCTCCCCATAGGCAGCCTTACCTTCTTGCAGGAGGGAGTAAGGGATGGCTTGGGAGGGGGAGGCTGGAGAGGCGGGAGGGAGGAAGAGGGGGATCTTTGATTGGTATGTAAAATGAGTAAAATTTTTTTTAAAAAAAGTATAAATCCCTTAAAAACAAGCTTAATAATCTTAAATGTCTATGCATCAAAATATAGAAAATAATCCAAAATACGAAATCCACAAATAGAGTATTTATTTTATCACATTCTTCTCTGTAATTAGCAGACCAGGTGTGAAACTGTCAATGAAGTATGGATGGTTTGATGAACAAGGACCTGTTCTACTCAAAGCCTGAAGATGTGACAGAAAGCCTAGAGGCCTCAGAAGTGTAGAGGAGGCATCAAACAGGAGGTGAGACTTTGGGCGTACTTCTGCACTTATGTAAATATCTTATATAAATATGCCTTCCACAAACATAGTACTATACATAGGTAATTTTGTAATGTTCATCATCCAGTAACATTGTTGGAGAGAAGATGGTTGATTATTTTTGTAAGAACATATTTATTGTTTGTGAAATTAAAAACTTTACTACCATGACTACCAATAACAGCAGCATAGCTAAAAATCAAAATAAAAACAAGCCAACACAGCAACAAACCAAAAGCAAAGTCAAGCACGGCTGGACCGTGAATGTCTCCTCTGATACTGGAGTCCACTGTTTTTGTACCTACTTCCTCTGCAGACCTTCCATGCTGGAAGACCAAGAACTAGGCCTGTGTCCTGGACATTTCCTTTTCCAGTCTTTACCCCTTTCTAGAAATTGTGTTGATTTCGACCCAATCCGCAGGCCATTGTTGTGTCTTCTAGAAACCCTGCTAGCTGGTAGGGAGCTTGTGGGTAACAGATACAGATTGGCTCACCCATGCACCTTCCTGGAAAATGAAGAACGGGATAGAGGAAGTCAGCTCTGTAATATATATCCATGGCTTTGTGTTTAACTACGAGAATAGGAGAGACAGGTGAGAGATGGACTCTGGGGAAGTGAGGGGCAAATGAAATGCCTGGTAGAGGAGACCACAGAAGGAAATCCTGCTGTGAAGTAGGAATCTTAAAAGTTCTTATTAATAAAATCAAACCCGAGGCCAGTTATTGGGGTGAATACTGGAAGGTCAGAGAGACAGAACAAGCCACAGCTATCTCACCTTGCCAATTCCTCAGCTGGTCCTGTTTCCTCAGACTGGAAGTTTCTATGTCCTCATCCCAATGGCTTTCAGCTGAACTGCTGTTCCAAAGCCTGAAAGCTTAACCAGCCACATGCTTAACCAGCCAAATGCTTAACCAGCCAAATGCTTCTAGTTTCTGGTCCTCACACCTTATATACCTTTCTGCTTTCTACCATCACTCCCTAGGATTAAAGGCTTGCTTCCTGGGATTAAAGGCGTGAGTCACCATGCCTGGCTGTTTCCAATGTGGCCTTGAACTCACAGAGATCCTAGATGGATTTCTGCCTCTGGAATGCTAGGATTAAAGGTGTGTGCTATAACTGCCTAACTAGTGGCTTTTCTGTTCTCTGACCCCAGATAAACTTATTAAGGTACACAATATTTTGGGGAACACAATACCACCACACTGCTGGGTTTTGGAAAGCAGACTCTGGGCAACGTCAACAGTGACCTTATACTTTCATACAAACATCATCCCTGCTTGTTTATCAGGAATACCCATACTGCATTCTCTTATTTATAACCAGGAGAACCCTGGTGGGATAGAGCTGTCTGCTCTTTGTTTCCAGCAGATTGTTCCTTGCCAGGTGCCCAACAATTGGATCAAATGGGGCAACCATTCCTCCTCAGCAGCCTTGCAAATGCTTGCCCAGTGCTGGATACTTGCAGTGCTCGTGGCTTCTCGGCTCCTAAGACACCCATGCCACAGACAGGCAGCGCTGACAGGGCCTCAGTGGCCTCGCAGGGCCTCTTTGCTATGGCAGCTCTACGAACGTGACTGGGCCTGTCCTGAACCAAACGTCCCCAGCTTCACGGATTGCTTCATGAGGTACTCCTTCCAGATCTTTCTTCCACTGATGACACTCTCCAGGCAAACTCCCGTTTGTCAGTGTCTCTCTTAGACTAAAGTGCCTCAAATTGACTCTTCAGCCCTTAAGCTTCTCTGCCCTGTGAGTGATAGGCAGAGCTGTGGAGAGGTCATAAAAGACTCCACAGGACTGAGAATTGGTAAGGGGCTATATTACTTTGCTGAGTATTTAAAAGAGAATTATTAGCTGCAGGGAACTGCTTGGAAATTGCTCCAATATATAAACTCTTAAAAGTATTCGTATGAAATTCATTAATACCTGTGACTTGTTTTGCCAATATGGAGCTCGAAGCATAGAATGTTACCACAGCACAAAGCACACATCTCCCTAGTCAATCCCTCTGTCCCTCCGTGACTGTGAATCACTCACACTTGAGGGGCAGCTGGCATCCTTGGAGCTTGGGATTGAACTGCAGACTCTGCAAAGTCAAGTGGACGGTTAAGACTGCCAGAGCGTCCTGGAGACGGGAAGACACCTTAAAAGGGATCATCTACTCTAATCCCTTCATTTTACAGATAAGCCACCTTAAATCCGTTCTGGAACAAGTGGGGCATTAATAAATAAATAAAACAAAGTAAATTTTACCTATGAGGAAGCTGAGACTCAAAAGCAGTTAAGTGGCCAGCCCAAGAGCATGAGGCTGGCTGGGGAACAGGGCCAAGGCTTGTCCAGGTAGTCTACAGTTCTTGGGCCCTGCACCCAGCCCATCCCAGTGGAAAGCCAGCATACCATAGGGACAACCCCTAGGTGCTAAGAAATGATTGTCACCTCTCTGAAAACAGACACAGTCTAATGGCCGTTTGTTCAGAGTCAGAAATCTAACAGCAACTGAACTAATCAGAGCCCGCAAGTAACTAGCATCTATCAACTAGTCAGCCCTGCCTGGACTAGTTTCCCAGCTGACCCCGCTCCCCCAGGGCACCCAGGAAGTGAAATCAATATTAGAGTTAAAATTGCCAGTCTTCTTAAAGGTTGAATCTGGAACTGTAAGAGCCAGGCATCAATTTCAAACATGGTTTGGAATTCTCTTAGCTTTCCTATAGCCTCCCGGAACCTCAACCTCTCCTGTGCAGACTGGAAAAGCCATCTCCCCAAACAGCCAAGGGGTAGAACACATCTCGCCCCTCTCAGATGACTTTCCCAAATTCTGGCCACTCTAGTTCACTAAAGAGAACCTCTGAATTCTGTATGGAGGGTAATCAAATCCACTGATGCCCTAGGCATGCTGGGAACTCCCCCCCCCCCACACACACACACTTGGAATGGAGGGAGGTGTATTAGTCAGCCTGAGCTATTCAGGGCATTTCCATTCCCACCAGGGGGTCGGGGAACTCAGCTAAGTTCACATCCCTCTGGAGTAGCAAGGACCTGAGACTTCAGCTCCTCCTTGAGAAGTGAGCAGCAGGAGATGGAATCTCCAGGACTTTGGGAGGGAACCACGATGCACGCAAATTAAACAATATCCTGCAGAGGTAGTAACCTGGAAAGGAAATTGCAGCAAGACGGATGGTCCAAGAAACCTGGAAGGCTCGGGCAGCGGTTCAAGCCGGAAGCATTCAGTCTAGGTAAAAGCCACGACTCCAGCCCCACGGCAGCCATGTACCTCCCCACTGTCCCATCGACATCTCTTCCAATACCTCTCTAGTTGGTGGCTTTGCTTGGATGCCCGGTTTCCGATGTCTTTCAGAAGGAACGCTTATCTGCCTTTGAAGGTCTTATTCTGGGACCATTTCTTATTTTCCTCCTTTCTTCTTTCAAAAAGAAAGAAAGAAAGAAAAAACAGCAGCTTTGACTAGTCTGAGGGTGACACGAAGGCCTGATTTTTATGCAACGTTGCAAGTGCCTTTCAGCTACACAATGGCAGGTTCTTTGACAATGTCATGCGTCTATTCAAAACAACCGGCATGCCAGTCAGAGGCCTGGGCGTTTGCACAGTGCTTGTTCTCAGTAGTGATAAGGCATGTTAGATTTTCCCATTCTATTTGAGAAATAATTCTTGTCTTTTTAAAGTCCCCTGCTTTTTTGATTATTTTTTTTTTCTTGCCTCTTTGGTGAACAATAGGACCTGTCCCTGTTTGATTCCTTACGTGATGCTTGTGTGGTAACAACTCGAGAAAGAGAGAAAAGGGGAGTGGGGACAGGCTGGGGGTTGAGAGGGGGAGAATGAGGGCCTTAACAGGCTCTGCCAGGTGCTGGCTGAGAGAGGTGGTATTAAGGAAGGGCCGGGAGATTAGTACTGGTAATTTTGTTGGGTCGATTTGTACAGCTCCTTTTGTTGGAAGCCAGGGTGTGCAGGAGGATGGGTTAATTATCCACTCCCCTGTTCCCCGGCCTGGTCCTCAGCAGCTAGACCTCTCTCTTCTTCTAGCAGTTGCAGCATTGAGGATGGGACGTCTCCTCTTTGTGCTTGTTGGAAACATAATGAATAAAAAGAGAGCAGAGACCTGAGCTGGGTGTGGTGGGGCATGCCCATGATCCCAGTATTTGGCAGGTAGGGACAGGAGGATTGGGAGTTCAAGACCATCCATGGCTATCTATCAACTTTGAGGCTGTCTAGAAAATAAACAAAACAGGGAGGCAGAGAGGGAGAGGCTGAGCGGGGATATGACCTACCGAAGATTTGAGAGGACAGTAAGATCACCCACTTCCACAAACGGATGTAGAAAGGCCCCAGCCTTCTACTCACTGCAAATGGAAGTTGCTCAATCTGACTGTCCTGCCTCTAAGTGGCTGTGTCTTCACAGCTGGTGGTGGTAGTTTTAGTGGCATTACAAACGACATCAGTACTCAGCAGCTCAATGCAACCACCATTCACTCACGCCACAGTCTTTCAGAGTCATTCTGGGCTGCCTCGGCTGCTTTGATGCTGGGGTCTCTCTGGTATGCTCCCGGGTTGACCATGGGTAGGGTCTGGTTAGCCAGCCCTGGTAATCTCCCTTGTCATCTGGTGGATCACTGAGGCAACAAGGGAGGCTGAAGACAGCTATGTCATAGGGTGACTTGGGTCTTCAGGCTGCAAGAAGACAAGGAGAAAATCACTTGAGTCTTTCAAGATCCTGCTTTATTGAAGCTGTGAATGTCCCATTGGCTAAAGGAAGTCACACTGGCTAGCTGGATCCAAGGAGCAGTGAAAACAGTCCCTTTGTGTCAAGGCCAGAGAAGAGATGACAGCCATTTTCCCTTCACCTGCTGCAAATTGGATTCTCTTTTCCCTCCATATTCCACCTGCATAAAGGCACATCCACCGAGAGCTGATTTACACACTGGCTCAGAGCTTTACTAGTCCAGTAGTGTTTCTGTCTTGAACCCCATGTCCAGTTCCCCTCTCTCATTCACATTCTGTATGTTTCTGCCAAACTGGATCTACTGTTTGTCTACTTTTCCACAAGGCAGTATTGGCAGAACATGCCTGCCACACTCATTTTGTGGATGAGGAGATTGAGACCCAGGGAGCTAATTACCACCTGTCCCCTACATGGGACACTGGAAATCCCTGCTGCAGTCTCAAAATTGGGGTGCCTAGCTGGAAAAATCAGATAACTCAAGAAATTTATTGCATTCTTTCTTCCACCATACAAAGTGAAGGAGAGATGCCTTAAAATGTATGTACTTGATGCCCAGTCCCCTATGACCGGGAAGGACTTAACATGCTTCCCCCAGCACTGCCCTGGCAAAAAGGAGTCAGAGACTAGCAGAGGGATGCAGAAACCATAGAGACACTCAGACCTCTGTAGGGAAATGACACCCTGTGGGCAGATTGACTGAGTGCTGTCAGCAAAGGCAAGGGGGGTAGTCATTAAACTCTATATGTTTTTATTTTCTAGCCAAGGAAAGCATATACACTCATCTGTTGAGACAGTCTATTTCTGTTGGCACGAAAACTCAGCAGACATTTGCTGGACATAACTCTCTCTATGGAACACTGAGCAGCTCTCTGGACAGAGTCCTTTTTCATAGTTCCAGAAACCCATTTATTTGCTATGTCCCCCCCAACCCCCTGCCTCGCAGTTCCTGGCATGGTGTGCTGCCCACAGTAGGTGCTCAATCAATGCCATGGGCTGATTGGTAAGTGGCATGAGCTGTTTTGACTTCTCACCAGGCACAGAGGATCTATCCCCGGGTGAGTGGATGGGGTTATTGGGAAGGCTAAATTAATTGATTTACTATCGACTGGAACTACAGACCTCTGTCCAATATTCCTAGAATCCACAACTCCCTTAGTTGGAGAAAAACTTCAAATCCTATGTGGGTTTTACCTAAGGAGTCCACATTCCTGCATCACTGAGAAGGTCAGGCCAGAGTCGTCTTCTTCCCACTCTATGCCTGAATGCCATCTAGCAGGTTCTTTCCCTTCTCTATCACCCATGCTGTCTTCTCCCCAGGCAAGCATTTTGAAACTCAACTGACATAATCTAGGGGAGACTGCAAGTATAATACAGATGTGAGCAACACTGGCTCAGGCCGAGTATCCCTCATCCAAAATTCTTAGGACTAGAAGCATTTTGGATTCTAGTTCTTTGTCTCTGTCTCTCTCTCTTTAATGTTTCCATGTATATTTTGAGATAGCTTGGGGATAGAACCCAAGTCTAAACATGAAATTCATCTCCATTTCATAAATACCCTATACATGTAGGTTGAAGGTAATTTTACATGATGTTTTTAGGATGCCTGCATTTTGATCTGCAACCTATCAAATTGTAGAATTTTCTCCTTGTGTCATTGTGTCAATGCTCAAAAAGTTTCAGGTACTAGCCTGTTTCAGGCAGGAAATTTCTGGAAAGGTGGTGTTCAGTCTGCAATACCCTTAGACTGTTAGTATAGAACTCAACTAAACTTGATTTTTAAGCTGAGGACTTCATGATTCAGCTCTACCCAAACTTGGCTTGAAAACTGTTAGAGCCTAGCAGAGGCTGTAGAGACGCCATACCACACCACCATCACTAGGGGCAGCACTTTGTGACGGTAGGTGGTCTAGCCCCCAGTTTGGAGACACAGGCTTAAACGTTTGTCCTCTGCTGCAAACCCCGGGTAGTACTGCTGTGGTTAGTCCAGCACTGTGCCTCTCAATCCCTAGGGTTTTGTTAATGTGCAAATCATGGCTCAGCAGGTGCAAAGGAAGGATTAAGAAGCTTTTAATCCCAGCACTCTGGGAGGCAGAGACAGGTGAATCTCTGTCCTCCCAGGTCTACAGAGCAAGTTCCAGGATAGCCAAGGCTACACAAAGAAACTCTGTCTCAAAAAAAGCCAATAAATAAAGAAAATAAAATAAAAAGAGGAAGAGGAGGAGGAGAAAGAGGAAGAGGAAGAGGAAGAAGAAAAGAAGAAGAAGAAGAAGAAGAAGAAGAAGAAGAAGAAGAAGAAGAAGAAGAAGAAGAAGAAGAAGAAGAAGAAGGCAGCACCTTTTAGCAATCAACAAGGCAATGCTGACACTACTCTTGAAATCAACCATGAATCCAACTAGTGATTAAAGAAGCCATCCGGTGCTTGTGGGTAGGATTCCTTATGTGGCCCTACCGTGCCCAGCTCAAAAGGCACAGCCTGAGTGAGGGATAAAACTCTGGTGGTTCATTTACGCCCTGCCCCTCAGTGCAGGCAGGTTAGGGGAGGGCTGGGAGTGAGGAGGGGAAGCTTCTAATTCATGGCCCTATATCCTAAACAAAGGTGCTTTCTGGACTGTAGAGTTCAATGAGAGTTAGAATTCTTCACTCTCCCCTGGCTAGGCCACATTAGAGTCTAGAATGGGCCAGGGTGGGGCTAGAGTGGACCAGCTCCAAAGTGATCGGGCCTCCTACCACTCTGTGTTTGTTCTATAGTTTTCAAAAGTTGTTAAATTTGTTTCATAAACAGAAAAATTGTATATATTGATGGGGTGCCATGTGATACTTCTATACATATAGATACTACATACTGTTTGAATTTGGTTAACTATATCCATCCCTTCAATCACTTACCATTAAAACCTTGAAAATTCTTTTTCCCCCTAGATTTTTTAAATATATGGTACATTACTGTTTTCTTTCTTTCTTTCTTTCTTTCTTTCTTTCTTTCTTTCTTTCTTTCTTTCTTTCTTTCTTTCTTTCTTTCTTTCTTTCTTTCTTTTG